CATTAAGCAAATCTTTTTATGCAATTTAAAACGAACTTGAAATAAAATCGAAATATGTCTGCCTATAGTACAACAAACTCGGGGCCTTTCTCAAATCATCTACCTGCAAATTAAAATCGAACCACCAAGAAACTAAAAATAAATAAATAAAAATGAATCAAATACGAGGAGATAATAGATCAAATTTTGTGTGAACAGACAAAATGTATAATGTTGCATTATGTCTAGAATCATAAAATGCAGAAATCGTTTAGCGAAAATAAAGCTTTCTATTTACATGTGAACAACCAGTAAACATCTCAAAAGCATATTATCTTAATAGATAGACCAAAGACAAAATATGAAATTTAATGATATCTTTGGATGTCCTCTGAAATGAACGCCCATCATCTGAGTTATCGCCAACCAAATCAGAAATCGAACTCTCCTGTTGCCTGAGAAAGAAGATCGCACCCAAATAATTATTCACAATTCCCATATTAATGGGTAAGCAAAAATGTATGATGAGGGAAAGGAAACGAGTACAAGACAAATCACACCTTATTGAACAGAATGTCTTTATTGTTTATGTGCATGATGTCGTCCTTCAAAGTGCATTTCCACCTGCTTTTCGTATGTGTCACCTATATATCGATCATCCATTTTAATAAATTTCATCAGCATAGATCAATGCAACAGAATTATGGGATCGACATCATAATAAGAAAACTACAAAAAATACCACTCAACCTCCAGGTTAAACTCTATTCTGGTCGTTATCTTGTCAAATTGAGCTAAAATCAGGTGTGTAGTGTTCAAATCCTCCCCTTGGTCCACATCATCTAATTCGTCGTCATCATCCTCGTTCAGAGGTTCATCATCATCGTCATCTTCAGTGTCATTCTGGGGAAGGAGAGCAGGAGTGGCTGCTTGTATCTCTGAAAAACGTGCAGAAATTAGCATTAGCGAATGAATACTTCAAGACAAACATATAGTTCAAATTAGAATATCAGTTTACCATTTGTGCAGGTGTGTTCACTATATTGTAGTCTTCATTGGCAACTCCTTGATAATTGTATATCTTCAAAGATAGAATTATAAACTCAAGTTAGTTTAGATAATAATGCAGCATACCATGTATCCCATGGAAAAAAACAGAAAACATACAATTACAATAACAAAAATTGAAAGTAAAATTTGTTTCAAATTATCTCATACAAAACCATGAAGGCGTAACATGAAGCCTATATGTGACAGATCCTTAGAGATTAGGTTATACACACACCTATTAAAGATGAAAGTCAATCAGCATCATTACAAACCTATTAT